GTCAAGTGTCTGTTGTGGGCCATCGGAGTGCAGTAGTACACCCAGGTGCGGGTTGGCACCGTGCCAGCTACATGCACGGTCTTCTTGACTCTGTCTTGATACCAAATCCAGATGGTGGAGGAAGAGAGGGCGCGGTAGGTGTAGCGCAAGATATCCATTACTATAAGCTGATTCACACGCAGTTTACCGTCGCTGATCTCAGTCTACTGTGTACTACGCGATGAACATCGCCGGCAACGACAGTCAAACTGTTGTGCTATCCCGAGGCTTATTAAGATGTCAGGCAGATATGCCAAAATAGGATAGAAAGAGTCGATCATCGTGATGGCATTGTTTTCGGTCGGAACTTTCGGAAGCTGCATATGCGCCTGTGCATCAACAGAGTCTGGCCCTTGTGCTGTTTTGCGACTGCACTCTCAACCGAACACGCAATGTTTGCAGCCTGGATCAGGAGACTACCGCTATGGTTGACCACTCAGGAGGGAAGGGGAGGAGGGTGGACGACGCGGCCAATCTTTTGGTGAGCTTGACCACCTGAGAGGAGTGTTCCGCATCCTCCAATTTGTGATTGCCCTGATATGTGTGGTGGTACGTCCAGGTGCGGGACCGGCCGTGCCAGCCACTTGCGCCCTACCTCACATCTGGTCTTCTTGACTGTGTCTTGACACTGGGCCCAGGTGGGGAGGAGGAGAGCGTGCAGTAGATGTTGCGCAAATCTACCTTCACTTTCAACTAATTCATGCGCAAGTCACTGTGCCCGCTCCACCCTGCTGTGTGTCTCCCGTTTAATCGTCGGGAACGACGGTCGAACTGTCATCCAACTTTAATTAATAAATTTTTCGGGAGATGTCATTTACTAATAAATGAGTACGGGGGATAATATGATTGTGCGTGTTATTCGTCAACGATATCTGACTATATAAGGACACCGAAAGCAACTGAAATAACTCATGGCAATTAAATAGTCATTTTTACTTAGTGCAATTTGTGTAAGCGACCGGAAAGAAGCTTATCCAAAAGCCGGAATCTTGGCGTGACTGAAATATCATCGGATAATATGACATGATAATCAGTATAACAACCCCGCCTAAGCAAATACTTTCTTATCGAGGACACATTTGCGATTTTCGGTTAACATTTCATGAGATAGATCCGATGATGTGCAGCCTCTGCCGTGATTTAAAACTACCGTATTCGTGAGGTGGACTGCCATGCCTACCTTTTGTCCGGCAGTTTTTAAAAACCGTTAGCGTCAAGTTAACGCGCTAAGGTTAAATTTAACATTTTTCGAGTTAGGCTTTTGCAGGTGGTAGTTCTTTTTTGTACTTCCCCTGCATTTTGGGAACTATTTTTTATGTCTTTCTGGAGTCACCGCTTCTGCGGGCTTTACTGTCCTACTTGGCCACCTGCGAGGTGTGTTCTGCGTCCTCCAATGGACGATTGCCTTTTTTGTTTTATCTTGATTGAGCCTTGATATGTACTCGGCGCGTGTCCCCCCCTGCTGTGGCCGACTTGTGGGGTTTGATGTACTGAATGCGGTAGCGTAGTAAGAAACGCCAGAGATGTCTTGATTATTGTTGCATGCCAGTGTACGCTGGTCGGATTCAGGTGTGGTCCCCCACACGAGCCGTGACTTATTGTCGCGCCTCAGTAGATCTATTACTGCACTGCATTCACCAGAGGTGTTTTTCAGCTGGCATGTGAAAACAACCTTTTCCAGAGTTATTCTATAACTCTCAAACGTATCGTTATTAAGGGTGTGTATGACTTTTGACTGAAATAAAGGGATAACCTGAACCGCTCGTCTTTCTAACTATACTCTTGAGACGGATGTTGTTTTATCTTTGGTTTCCTTTTCAAACGTCTACGTTCTTCGAAAATGCTACTTTTTGGTCATATCCTATCCAATACGGTCTTGGATGAAAGCTCTTCGACCCAGACTCATTAATGACCCTTACGTCTGATGCAGATCATCAGTACGCAAATATGACTCCAGCTACGCGTCAACAGATCCCGTCTTCTCCTGCCTGTTTTAGCGCTCATTTGCTGGGCATGTCAGTGAGGTCTACTGCTGTCGTTTCTTTCCCTCTGGATTGGTTGTTATCACGGGTGGCGCGGACATGCAGTTAAAAATATGGTCAGCCCTCAATGGAGAGTGCGCTGCAACACTGCAACCGGGTCCTGGTGGCGCCGATGGCACCGGGCCCAAGGAACCGGGTGGACATCGGTCTGGTATTGTAGACGTCGACTTTATCGAGCGGGGAAGGAATCTTGTCAGTCTGGATCGGGGTGGTTGGTTACGTCTATGGGACGTCTCCACACAGGTTAGTTTTCCCTCCCCGGTGCTTTTCAGTTTTTTCGCATAGTAGGCACTCAGAATTTTAGGTGTCCTTTCTTTAGTCTATTTTGTCTAGTGGTTTTTTTGAAATCAAACTTCAATACAGAATGGTGAGTCCATTATGAACCTGATGCAGCGGCGACTTTCAGCGTTCATTCCGCACTCATGAGCTTCCATAAGTCGCACTTTAATCCGGTCATTTTTCCACCCACTGGCTTAATGCGACAAACTGGACTGCAGATCACCAGTAATAATTTTCTCTGTAGACGCGTGTTTGCAGTTCTCCGAAAACCACCAATACGACACATATTGTGACCTTCAACAGCAGTAATCGTCTACCTAAAGAAATAATTTGAAGAAACCTTATTTTTTGGGTTTTAGGCGCACCTCACTTTACCAGCCGACGGAAGACCTGGGCTAACTGGACAAATTGATACTTTTCTTGCCCGAGTAGGCACGACACGAAGACCCGGGGTAGATTTTGCTCGACTGGGCTGTCTGCAGAATTGTCTGGGTAGAAAAAAAATCCGTGTCAAAAATTACCCATTAAAAGTTTGTCGTAAGGGAGGCTATGGCGAATGACTTGAACACGGACACGCCCCTTCATCCTGGAAAATTAAAAATAATGTCTACTCAATTGTTGCAAGTAAACATTTCCACAGCAGAAAACTGGACTCGGACACGCCCAAATCATCCAGCTCCTGAAGTTCTGTCTCAATACGTACTTTACGTTCGACGGAACAATCTACGAGCAGGTGAAGGGAACGCCAATGGGTTCGCCGATTTCGGGACTCATAGCCGAGGCGGTCCTACAGCGGCTGGAGTCGCTGGTTTTCCGACACCACAGACCGAAATTTTGGGCTCGGTATGTGGATGACACCTTCGTCGTCATCGAACGGGATCAGATGCTAACGTTCAAAGAACAACTCAACGCCGTCTTCCCGGACATCCGATTTACGATGGAGGAGGAGTAAAACAATCAGCTGACCTTCCTGAATGTCCTAGTAGTCCGCAAAGATTGCGGTGACCTAAAAACCAAAGTGTTCAGGAAAGCGACAAATACGACGCAAATACTGAACTTCAATAGCAACCACCCGATCAGTCAATAACGCAGTTGCGTAAGGGCGCTTTACCGGCGCGTTGAGACGCACAGCAGTGAAATGGAAGACAAGGTTGCTGAATTACAATATCTTCGACGGGTAATGAGAGCCAATGGCTACCCGCGCAGCTTTGTCAACCAGTGCATACGAAAAGGACACCAGAGACCAAATCCAGCCGGACCCAAATTTTGGCGGGCTCTTCCGTACGTGAAGAACGTCTCGGAAGCCGTCAGTCGTCTTCTCACTCCACTTGGAGTTGGGTTTGCGTACAAGCCGGAAGCAACCATTAGGCGCCAAGTCATGAGGCCAAAAGACCGCTGCCACGGCAGGACACGTCTGGAGTCATTTACCGGATCTGGTGTAGTTGCGGACAAAGCAATTATGTCGGAGAAACTGGGAGATTACTCCGTACGCGAATTGCCGAGCACGCAGCAGCAGTGAGGCGGGGAAACGCTAACTCTCAGGTGGCGGCACACTCGACGGGACCCGGCCATATTTTCAAATTTCAAGAGGCCGAAAGCCTCGCAAGGGGTGACAACCGCGTGAGCCGCGAACTGCTCGAGTAATGATTCTCAGGCCCGCAATCCATCAACAAGCAAAATGACCTCCCGGTACCCTATACCATACTGCGATTGTCTCTGGGCAGGAGAATCAGTCACGTGGGGAGGGCGCGGGCGAGCAATCATCACGGTGACAGTGAGCCACTTTGCCGAGCAATCGTCACACCAGCATCCAGCACGGATGACGAAATCGCGGCAATTAACGACTCGGACTCGGACCGACAAGCCACCGCCGCATCAATTACGGCCTCAGCGGTGATTACGAGAACTGTTAATTGCAGTGCGCATACGGTCCCACGGTAGCCACGTGCTATAAATACCGCACTCCAGATGCCACCATCACCTTCATCTGCGAATGTCCCTGATGATGGATTCGAGGGAGGATCCGAAACGTCAGGCAAATAAATTTCTTGTTCTAGTGATCGCATCTTCATCTTCTGAATGACTTGAACCGCCGGCGGAAAACCGACCTTTTCCGCTGTCATCCAGTTTTCTGCTGTGGAAATGTTTACTTGCAACAATTGAGTAGACATTATTTTTAATTTTCCAGGATAACGGGGCATCGGTATTCCACTTTTGTAACTGGGTTATTTGTTGATATCAAGCCCTTCAAGTTAAACACATTACTTTAGTAGCTACGGCTCCATGGTTTGCAAAAATCGACTACTCATTATGCGCCCTCTTTACTCCACACTTGCAGATCGCGATTTCAGCCATGTCCGTGGTGCCGGAAAAGGATGGCGGCAGGGCGCATGTCAATTGCGACATTGAACACGAACCGCAGTGTTGTGCCGTCAAGAATCGCCACTGGTTGTCGACCCCGGCATGCGATGTTACAGAAGTGCCTTCCAGCTACTGCAGTATGTTTGCTTGCTCACTACTGCGTGTTTTCGCATGAAGTAGAAGTTTTTACGAGTACATTGGCACACTACTTGGGGCGGCCTGTGTATCCCCTCCTTCACTGCCGCCACGCATGCATCCTAGTGGTTTATATCTGATGCCTGGGAAATAATTATTTAGACAAACCAACACTACCTGGCTGCAAAAAGCAATCTGTTTATCCACAACCCACCGCGCACCCCATTTTCATCAAGGCCTTCACGAAATCGTTTATAACGCGACTCTCAAACACCGTTATCCGACTTGGCTGATCGGCAAAATTAAATGTGGGAGATAGCCAGTATGCCCCTCGTACGTCAGTGCATTTCTTTGCGAAGCCTTGTTCAGTCGTTGCAGAGGAGCTATACCTCTTCTTTCTTCTTGCCTGACCAGCCACCATCTTCCAGCCCATTCTCACTAGCGTGGAGGGTGAATGCGGGAAGGTAAGACATGCTCGATGTTGCACAAGCCTCATACAGCATCGCAGAGGGAGGGAGGTATTGGTAGTTGTCCTCTTCGACGGAAGAATTATCGGATACGTTCTGAACAGGAACAACCATGGTTGCTAATGACGCCCTGCCTATCCTCTTTGAGCTCCCTGTGGCTTATTACATGTGTGCAGAGGCTCCAGTCTTGCGCTAGTGCAGCAGCAGATGCGTTTGTACTGAATCACTTCAAACTGACTGGAATTACTACTGAAATGACTACTCCAGTTGTGCTATGCAGCGACAGGGTTTTCAGCTAGCCCCTCTGCTGTCATTATGGCTAATGATGCAACATGTGTATGCTACTGTCTGCCGGTCGGCAGTTCAAGAATACTGCGTGATTATCCCGTTGGGGTTGATGACTTTCGACTCAGATATTTATGACGACTTTTGGACAGGGCCTTTAAGGCTTCAGTTCGAATAATTTGCTCCAAGGCAGTGCATTTGTTTGCAAGATTGAAATTTCAAAACTACAGTATCTACCAGAAAGCACATAGGGGACGCCGAGAGGACCCCTCGTAGCTGTGTTATATTACAGACGGAATATCGACAAAACACGTGTCTCGGCGTTGAGTAAGTACCTGTTTTGTCAATATGGTGAATAACTTATCTGTCCCCTCATAGCCACTTTGCGTTTGTAACTTGCAGAAAAGGAAATTGAGTGCCCCTTTTGATCTTAAAACAGACAGATGTTTCAGCGACAAAGTCTGGGAACTTTGCGATTCATTTCATTCAGTCACTATTTACTCAATTAACTGAGAGTGCATTGATTAAAATGTCATGCTCAGACTGACTATTAAGTGGTATGTGATTATTTCGGGCTAAAAGACGACTACAATTCCGAGCATCACCAGTGGTTTCACTGCGGTCATTAAGCAGTGCCAACAAGCACGATTTGGACGCAGCTAACTAAAAAGCATACAAAGCATTGAAAGAATTCAGCAGCCTTTGTGACGAGGCAAGTTTTAAAAGGCAAAAAGAGCAGTGCTCCGAGAGCACGACAACTTCCTGTCGCAACGTAACGATTTCCCTGCCTACAAGTTCAAAAAGGAAGAGTTGTGATGCAAGGGGATGGGCGATGAAAACGACAGTTTTACGGCTCATTGAGCGAATCTGAGCTGCACAACAAAAAGTACATATCCGGATGGACTGTTTTTGACACTCAGAAAACTAATTGGATCATTAATGGCATGAGGACGCTTCAGGGTATTATAAGGAAGTTCCATTATGAGGGACACTGCCCAAGAAAAAGCGTGAACGGTCACGAAAATATTAGCTTTTAAAGTAGCTCGTCCGTGTTTTCAAAAGACGTTGTAGGATCCCTTGCGTTCAATCCTGATTAGTAATGTTGGTCAAGTTAAACATGCTGCTACCACTACTACTACTACTACTACTTCTACCACCACCACTACTACTACAACTACTACTACTCTTTCTTACTCCTTGATAACCCGCGATTCATTTTTTCAGCAGTATCCTTCATGCCATTTTAGTTTTGGAGACCTCATCTTCAAAAGCTACCGCCGTAGGGGTCACCGATAAGCTGGCCGCGGTTGGAACTGGTCAGGGTGGCGTGGTCTGCATCTACGATCTGACCTCTAGCGATTCCAGAAAGGCTGGGCCGTCTCATCGGCTCGTCCTGCCGTCCGCCTCGGGTGCAGTGACCGCATGCTGTTTTTCACGTACCCCATCGAACGAGAACGTGGCAGTCAGTCAGTCAGCCGGTGCATCAGAATCGGAAGCGGACGCCTTCTTCGAGGAGTACGGACTCCTGGCTGGTGGCGCGGATGGCCAGGTAGCCTGCTGGGATCTACGGCATCCGAGGTAGGACTTCACACCACTCCTCACCAGTAATGTAACATGGCAACCATCTGCGTACAGGGCATTACGCTAAGCTGATACGGACTTGCTCCCAGTCCACTAAAAACTCTTGCCATACAGATTCCAGCACCGAGTTACCGTTATGTTCATGCTACCCTACTGCATTGGTGAAGACAGTAGACACCAGGTCTTTTTTACTTAATCACATTTATTCATCTCTCCACAAGCTCAGGTTTGCCTTCTCCCCGACACACCGTCGCTCGAGTTCATTGGCGCACACCTGCTAAGGCATGATCGCACGGTCCTTAAATAACCCGCTGTTCTATTGGTGTATATGCTGTACTGCGGTTTTCCTTTCGTCGAATGTACCTGCGAAACTCAGTGATTGCTTATCAGAAATGGCTGCCCCAACCGAGTGTAATTCAACTCCTGTGGCTCTAACTTCAAGTCACTGACTGATGTAAAGACGGATAATGGCTCCCTTCGGGCTGTCTGCTCGTTTGTCCCTAACCATAACGTTTAATGCACTGAATACGAAGGTGACGGTTACGAGTGGCGTACCTCAGGGCTCCATTCTTGGCCCTATCCTCATCCTCATATGTATTGATGACTGCATCCATAGGGTGGACTGCGTTTGCAGACGACATGAAACTTCGGAACGTCATCCGCAACGAGGAGGATGAGGCAAATCTACAGGCAAACTTGAACCGTCTCGAGCAATGGTCAAGTCACTGTCTCCTCCCGTTCGGTGTTGTCAAATGCAACATTCTGTGCATTGGCAAAACCAGCTCGGCGCATCGGAGGAAGTACCATCTAAACCACACGCCGCTACCAGAGGGATCTAGGTGTGAGGATCTAGGTGTGTGAATAACATCCTCACTAAAGTCATCATTCCACTGCCTGAAGGTAGCGAAATCCGCAGTGTCCAGCTTATATCTCTTCAAGCGGACATTTTCGAAGATCGACGAAAAGTGCTTTAGCAAGGTCTTCAGGCTGTTCGTGCGACCACAGTTGGAATTTTCCATTCAGGCCCGATGACCCTGGTCTGTTAAAGACCGTACCGCCATCAAAAAGTCCAACGACGGGCAACCAAGCTTGTCAGAGGTCAAAAAACCTACCTTGCGAAGCTCGACTGTCCAATCTTGACCTCTTTCCCCTGGACTACAGACAGTAATGTTGCAACTTAATTCAAACGTTTCGCATGCTGCGGGGTCGGGGTTGTTGCCTTGCATCCAGCGACTTTTTTTGACCGGCCACCACTGCTAGGTTGCGAGGACATCCTCTCAAACTACGTGTGACTGGGGCAAAAATGGACGCAAGGAAATTCTTATTCAGCCGCAGGATGATTAAGGCATGGAATGTTCTGCCTGTGGACGTCGTCATGTCCTCATCCGTGGACACATCTAAGAGGAAGCATGACCGGCACCACGTCATCAGAAACTAACAATTTTTCCGCTTGTACCACCCCGAGCGTTACACGTTACAGGACATGCTACTCCCTATATTTAAGTCACATTATGCTATAACGTTTTCGTTAACTGCCTCAGTCGGACGCGCGAACCAACGAATCCTAACTGAAGCGTAAGCGTTCGTGCCCATATTACGCGGACCACTTCAGTACCGCGTAATGATTATTTCGAAATTTTGACACAGTATGAATACACTGACACATTCATACAACTTCGTGTAATGACTTACCGATAGGGAGTAACCGATAGGGAGTACAAAGGCGTTCGCCTACGCTTCCCTTAATAAACTGAACTGAACTGAACAAATGTAAACATGGCCAGTCCTCAGGGTGTTTTGCAAGTCAAGGTTTAGGCATAACTTGTATGGTTTCCGTTCTAAGTTTAGCTTTGGCATTGAGCTTTACGACTAATTTCTGTAAGGCCACGCTAGTTAGCCGACAAAATGATTACGTCTGTACCAACTTTGAGATCTTAGAGGGCTGGCTGTTCCTTCTAGCCAGGTATCTCGTGTGTTTGATGCCTTGCAAGCAAGAAGGTCGCACTTCTGACTTTCAGAGTGACCCTCCTAGCTCGGGCACCCCTAAGGCAGGATGGTAAACATCAGGGGGCGCAGGTTTCAGTTGTCAGTTCCATCAGCAAACGCATTATCCTCCCTCCGAAGTATGTGAACCCTTGTCATTACCTATGTGGCGGTGGGGGTAAGCTGACTGCTGTAAGTTTAACAGGACCGACCAGAGACCGCCAACCCGGAGGAGTCGTCAGACCAGGCCGCCACTGCAATGGCTCAAATGAACTCTGCCGAGGTGATGGCTGACAACACTGGCACTTTTTGGGACCTGCAATACAGTCACCAAAATGCTGAGACAGCAAATGAAGCAGAAAATCAGTCAACGGTTAGCAAGGCATTTGACTCTCCGTTTGAATTTAGCGCGTTAAACGCCTCAACAGTGGTGAAACGACTAAGCTCTCCTAGGCCAAATTCGTCCCGTTGAAGCCTTTTCTATTCTCGAATCACCATCCTGAAGCCCTCAACATTACCAACTTGACACTGATGTCCTAGTTTTGACGCCCTATTAATCAGTTACGCAGACAGGTTACTTTTTGACGAGTTAAAACGCCTTTGCTGCCGCTTTTTTAATCATGGCCAAATTTTGACAAATGGAAATGCGCTGCCTACTTGGTACGGCTGTGATCAGGCCGAATCTAGCCGCGGATTGTATCTTCCCATGCCTCTGGATCTGTGGCAGCGGATCTGGACAGTTCGACCCACTCTCATCTCCAACGATGGATACTGAATATCGGACATCCAAGAGCCACTTCCATGCCTTGACGAACTATGTCAAGCCAGGTTTTGAATTGACCTCCACTTCGACGCCTCCAGGTAAACAGCGGCGCCTGATCGAGGCCAGCGGCAGTGAGATCGTGAGCCGGATGACGGAGAATATGCCCAAACCACCTCAGTCGTTTTTTGGATGGCCTTGTATATCCACATGATGTCGCAGCAGGTGTGAACTGTCTCTTTTGGGTTGAAGTCAGTCTACCGAAGTCGAAGAATAGTCTACTTACTTGCACTACCTGGCGTTGCTACGATCATGCCTGATCTTGCCGACCTCGATGATGTCCCGAATATTACCTCTCCACGCATGACGATCCGCAGCAGCAGATCTGGACAGTCCAACGCATTGTCTTCTCCAACGATGGATACGGAATGCCCAATGTCCAAGAACCACCCCCATGTCTTGACGAACAGTGTCGAGCCAGGTTTCGAGTTGGCCCCCACTTCGATGCCTCCAATGGGTTAACGGTGCCGGATCGAGGGCAGTAACAGTGAACTCCTGAGGTGGGCGACGAAGAGCATGCCCAAACCACATCAGTCATCTTTCTTGGATGGCCTGGGTTATCCGTGCGATGTTGTCACAGCGAGTGCGGACTGTCCCATTTGAGACAAAGTCGGTGTACTTCACTCAAAGTACAGTCCTCAGGCATCAATGGTTAAGTACCTCTTGTTTTTTGCTCGTCCTCCAGATGCACAGTCCAGCATTCACAACTGTAGAAAAGGACTGACCGGACGAATACACGATACACGCCTATCTTTTTGTCAATGAAAATGTCACGTCGTGTCCATAGACACCTTCTAAGACTCGAGAAAAGCAGGCAGACAGCATCGATCCTGGAGACAATGTTATCCTCACTCTATTCATCCGGCAGCAGCCTCGCCCAGAAGTGTCTGAAAATGTCTTCTTCCTCATATTGACAACCATTAACCGCTAAAGGTACCGTCTGCAGTGATGGGTGTAGCCTGAAAACACTCTGTTATTACCAGCGTTTATGAATAAACTGACTGAACTCGCTACCACATTCACCCGTGACACCGGCAATTCAACCGCTGTTGTCGACGATGTCCATCGTGTATTCCACAGCAAGGTGCGAGCAGGGCAGGTGACTTGCGCAGCATCTACCGCACTCCCCTCCCCCGCCTGCGTCCGGTGTCAAAACAGCGTCAAGAAGATCGGAGGCGGGAGAGGCCGAAGGCGGCTGACATGACGAATGAGCCCGCACCTAGGCGTGCCACCACACCCCCTCGTCCACAACATACCCCGACCAGGATACGCGTGACACCATTACCTGTAGACCACCAAGGCTTGCAATTAGCAAAACGACATATCCTGCAACAAAAAATGCGCTGCATCACTTGCTCACTCCTGTCACCCCCTCGGAACTTTACTGGTTATTGTTGGTGGCTGGAGGGATTGTGGACTTTCCCCTTGTTACTAGCCGCGCCCATCTGACTGAATAATCCTCATCAGAACCGTAAGGGCGTGAACGCTCGGCGTCAGGTGTGTTTGCCCGATCGCCGGTGCTTCCGGCTTCACCAATGACGGTGGATGGTTCTGTGGAGAAATCATAATTCCTCTTGTTTCAGCTGCTAGGGGCAGTTGCGTAAACACCGTGGTCTCCCGTCCTTCTGAGAAGGATGCTTTCCCCTACCTCATCAGCTCAGATGGACCTACGGTGTACTAACTGAATAGAATTTTTCAGCTGCTTCTCGTTGGCCGACTATTTGCTGCCTTTTTATTTTTACTCACTCTTTCTGTTGGAAAATTTCAGCAAGACGGTATTTGCTCAAAGTTCGGGAAAATCTGGCATAACGCACCTGAGAACTTATCGATGGCCGGCGCGCAGCTCGCATGATCTCGGCGACGAAGGAAAACCGATGTCCCTTCCATCCTTCACTGGCCTGTTTGTAGCTCGACGTAAGTCTCCGTGGCGGTCGATTTTCATGAATCAAGCATCACACAACTGCTAATTATTACGGTTTGTTAACGTTGTGACTAATTTAGGGTGAATTTCCGTAATTAATTGACTGATGCACCTGAAATGTGAGGAAACATGTCTCTTCAATCGGTTTCACACACAAAACGCCGAGGCTTCTTTCTACGAGAACGTAGGGCGTTATCTTAAAAATGGCACGACCAGGCCTACCACGAGTGGATAACATGGTTCATTTAGTGAATACTCACCATAACACGCGCAAGACGCCAGATAACCTACCAAAGCAACTACTTGAAAACAAACTTGCGGATTTTATTGCGCGGTCTTCAGACAGCTTTGTTCTGCGGCAACAGCAGACCCTTCTCAGGGTTTCGCACCTACCGTGGCCAAGATAGACCTTCCATTCGACGCGAAAAACGAACCGATATACATCAGGTAACTGCGACTGCGGGTCATCTCCCCAGTCTCAACCTGCGGCCCCATAGCACTTCGCCCCTACCCTCTTCCTCCTACCACTCATTCCCGCAAAATACATCAATTATAATTCGGTCCGTCAGCCACCTATCATAATGTTGCGATACATCATGCAAGTGAAACCGACACTCGGGAATCCATCCGTAGAGCAAATCTACGCATTCTTCACTACAGTAAGTCTGACGCATTCGAATCTGTAGCGGTGTGCTAAGATACGTAGCCTTGAAGACTGCCAACCTACGAGATAATTCGGTTCTCGTGGGAGTATTTTAGAGCTACTAGAGGGCTCCAGTGGCTCCTTTCCAATGTGACTTGCGTAGCATTCTCACTTGTGCTAGATTCTAGCCGTCCCTAGCGTAGCCTGGCATGCACTGTAGGATCCAGGTCGTGTGCGCCACGCGTAGGCGGACCGTTTGTTTTTGGTTCCTGCGTCCGCGCCCACCTCCGGTTGTCCCGACACTGCCTTGCCATCGGAGCAATGTGGGTGAGGAAAGGTGGAGTGCGGTGGGCGATGCTGGGTGCAAGCCTGCCGCCTCGGCGCCCACTTCATGGCTTGCAGCGGTCAAACGCCCATATCGCCTGTTACTCCTTGATGTTCAGATTAGAAGTCGGCTAGATCGCAGTTGGTAGCCAGGCCCCGTATTACAGGTGGCGGGGGGGGGGTTTGTTTACTGGGGCTATTTTGTGGGGCTCCATCATCACATCTGACCCATTTGGCTTCCGTTTTACGTCCGAGGTTAGGATTAGGGTACCGGTTAATGGTTCCCGATTTTCGGGTTAGGGTTATGCTTTTAGGCTTAGGTTTTCGGGTTACGATTAGGGTTTGAGCGTACGATTAGGTTTCAGTATTACGGTTAGGTTTTGCAATTACGGCTATGCCTAGGGGCTACGGTTACGTTTACGATTTCGGATAGGATTGTCGTTAAGGTTAATGGTTAACGTTTAAGGTTGAGGTTAGGATTGCGGTTAAGGTTATGATTAGGGTTAAGGTCGCCGTCCGCTTTCCCATTCCTGGCTACCAACTGCGATCTAGCCTAGAAGTCTTTAAAAAAACGTGCGTTTGCCTGGACTGACTTACTGGACTAACCTTGTGTGTTCTCTTTCACAGGAGATGGTCGCGTCACCCTGCAGCCTCTGGCTGCCAGTGGATCACAGAGCACAGCTCACCCTCTTCTGGAGCTGACTGGTCCGGATGTTGACTCAATTCGGGGGTTTTCAGTGCTGGCGCCGACTGCCACAGCTGGTGATGAGCCCTCTGTCAACGCCTGGTCTGCCACCAACAGCGGACACTTTTTCCTCTATCGAAGGCTGACTGTCGATTCTTTGGTTGTCTGATTTGAGTCTTCGTATGTGTGGCTTTTGTAAGATTTTTTTGCAAATGTTCGTTCAATTTGGATGTTCTACGTAAGGAGGGGCTTGGAGGGATTATTTCCCACATCACAATCGGCGATAACCATAAGCGTCAGTTTGGTTGTCTCTTTTTCAGTGTGTCAACAAGAGTCAGCCTCTGGTTAGGCATGTAGGTGGACGGTGGTGGTAGATAGCAGTGTTGAGGATGCCGCTATTTTTTGGGAAAGTACTTTAAAGGGTGGTTGGGACGCAGCATTGTACGTGGTAGAAGTCAACACGCACCGATCCGGGTTCTGCGACGGACGCTCCGTCCACCGTTTACCAAATTATCGCCGAAAACGCCGGTATGGTCTGCTCCTTGTGTAGAAGTTTGTGCGTTGAGGTCTCCTATTTTCTGGGGATGTTTTAACCAGTAGCGATCGAAGTGGACCGACAAATATTCGGTCTTGAGCATGGGTTCATGATGCAGACAACTTAACGAGGTTTTTTTTGAATTTGATAGCCTTCATCAGCATACAATTCATGCTTTTTATTTTTGCGATGAATTTAAAGGGGTCCGCAAAAGCCAAGCGCACCCTGTATCCCCGAGGATGCGTGGGAATTGACTGGACGTTAGCAACTTTCCCCGGCATTACAGTCTAACGTTCTTGTTGCATCATCCTGGTCTACACTTGTTTTTATCGATTATGCCGGTGTACGTGAAGGTGCAGGGTTCGCTGTTTCAAAGATGGTCAGATCAGCTAGCTTGCTGAAGGGACCAATTCCAGTTCCTCTTGCACTCGAGGAGGGACGACGATTATGCCAACGCTTCCGCAGTGGTCGCGGGATCCGTGCTATCTCCCTGTAGAGAACTTTTTGTTTCAGAGGCTGCAACAAACGTTTTAATGTGATGAGTACGAATGGCACTCTGGCGGTGTGGGTTTTCGAAATTCCTCAATACATATCGTAGACCTGTTGGTTTCCCCTCCATCTGTAGAAATGGTGGGAGATTTGTATTATTTCGGGACCTGTCCTCATTCACGGCTGCTGTGTTTCCAGCACTTGAGTCCCACTATGCTCGTCAATCCCATTGGTTTTCGCGTCTGCGCCGGAGCCCTACCCTAGTAGCTGGACTGTTTGCAGAGTCTAGAGGAGGTGGAGGTCAAGCCCAGTGTTTACTGCTGCTCGAGGAATCCAAGTGGAGCCCTCTTCCTAGGTGATTAACGATGATCTTAAAGCATCTAGACTAATAATCAGGTATGCGAGACCCCTCCAACAGTATAACCGTGCTATTGTGTCCGGCCAGCGGTCTGTGAGCTGTAGACCGTAATATTAGCTGAAAATAAATTAGTTTCCTTCCGGTTATTACAGGCCGAAACTTGCGATTTTTCCATTTCATCCAAGAAATTACTATTTCGCAGCATCTTGGTGTTTGGCGGAGGGAGCTTTTCATGTGTGGATCTCGCTGCCCCGCTACGTGTGGTAAAGTTGACCCCCATCTGCGATTAGACAGAATCTTCTAAGTCTCGTTAGTGCATTAGATCCAGGATCTCTATTAGTGACGTAGACTGCGTTACACAGCATCTGGTTACTTTCAACATCATCCTCTCTACCTATTACATTCACTATAATCCTTTACACTTTTATCGTCTGCGGACGGACTCCTTCGAAGAAACTTCTAGCCCGCTTGGCGTCATTTCCTGTTCACGGCGTTCCCACTATTAGATCCAGAGTTTCATTTTGGAGATAGTTGGTGTCGGTGTGTCCGGCGTTTGCCTCTACAAACAGCACACCAAAACGGTCTATTCTATCCACGATTATGCACGCTGCCAATTTCTAGTGGCGGGGCCGTGAGGGCACCCATGCTGCTCTTACGGAAAGTGAGGTGGAAATCTGTGTCCGTTATTAGGAGATTGTTCTGGGTGTATGTGACCCCCAACCGGGCCACGTGGTAGATGCGTTAGATCAACTCCGGGGGGCATATTGGACTCTGACAGGCGTTATCAGACTTGCGTACCATAACAATTGTCAACATTTGGGGGTGCGGTGGCAGACCTCGTTGCCGACAGAGGTCGCGCGCACTGGAGCCCCTGCCGCCGTTCCATTGTCGTTTCCGATCAAAAACCTGGTCATTTGTTGTGTGGACGAGAAGGGTGTGGAGTGGAGCGCCAAGGTGCGGGCCCTCCCCCGCCTCCGGTCTTCTTGGCTGCGTTTTGGCACCGGGTCCAGGTGGGGGGAGGAGGAGTGCGGTAGATGCTGTGCAAGTCTACTATAACCACAAACTAATTCACGCACAACTCACTGTCCCTGCTCTGGCCTTGTTGTGAAGCACACGATGTACATCGTTGGAAACGATGGCCGAAATATCGTATAAAAGACGCAAGAAGAAGTGAGGCCGACATTAATGAATCCGCTGAAATGAATCAGACGTCTTTGAATCTATCGCGATTCGTCCAGAGGCCTGGGTTGGAAGAGTGCTAACTGCCGGCATAACTGACTGAGGACTGAGATTCAGGTCGCAGGGGCCGTTTCTTAATGTGGCATTCCATGGCTCCTTCAGGCACGATATCCCCAGGTTGTTCTCAAGAAAGTGTGGTTAATGCGACGGAGGCAAGCTCGTCTGTGGCACGCGCAGTCGTGCTGTTAAGCTCCGAGACCGCTCCCCGTCGTCTCGGCAGTATCTCGCCATTGGAACACGGTAGGTGAAGGAGGAAAACATGTGACAGATGCTGTACTAATCCGCCTGACTCTCCGTTCCTAAAGAATCAAATTACCCATTCGACTGGCAGTGTTCCAAGCCACGACTTCCAACGCGTCTTGAGAGGTTCAGAGTGGGTCCAATTTTTTATAATGATAAATATACACCGAAGTGTTGTGAGGATCGAGTTCCCATAGCTGCCTCCTACTCTCTTCCCACTCACAGATATCAGTTCTCTGTCCGGGTCGGTCAGATATCAGACGCTGGGATTAAGTACAAGCGGCTGACACGACATCAGTCTGCGTCTAGGCATGCCGTCGCATGCCATTTTGGTCGAGGTTATCTCCCGCTGGGCTCTTTTTGGGGCAGACGCATCTGAAAATGTTTGCGATTGCTGGTACAAGGAGTTTACTTGTCAGAACGTTTCGGATTCTCACTTGAACCCGCCATCCGAGACAGTCGCTGATAGGGGCAATGGAAGCACGGGTGTAGCATTTATAAGACGCAGTTGCCGTGCTGTAGTATGCGTACTACAATTAGCTGTTCTCGCGTTCATTGTGAGTAGCACCCGTTTCGGTGGTGGCATATCAATTCGCATCCGAGTCACTATTCGCCGTAATTTCGTCACCGTTGGGGATTCTTGGCGTGACAACCGGTCAGCAGTTTGGCTCCCCGCCACTGGAGATGGTGGTCTCCTGCGCCCCCCCCCCCGTGTGTCCAGTCCCCAGCCTAGACTAAAGCCCCAGCACAGAGTATGGAGGTGGGAGGTAATTGTGCTTGTGAATTGACTGCAGGCCAAATAACCATGACCCAAACAGTTTGCGCCTCAGGCGGCTGTCACCCTTTGCGAGAATTCCGACCTCTTTAAACCTGAAGGCGCGGTCGCCTCCCGTGAAGTGGGCGGTGACCTGAAATACATAAGTAATTACTCAATCGGCCACAAACGTGGTTGTGCAGAGGCGCTATGTCGGGATGTTGAGACGCACTAAAGTGGACCAGAAGACAGGCCTGCCGAATCTCAATACCTTCGACGGTTGCTCGGAGCATACGGCTTCCCGCGCAACTACGTCAACCAGTACATGTGCAAAAGAGGCGACAGATTTTGGTGAACTCTTCTGTGCGTGAAGGTCTCGGAAGCCGCCAGCCGTCTCATCACATGAGTCTTATTTTCTCACAGATCCGAAACAACTATCAAGCGACAAGTGGTAAGGCTGAAAGACCAACTGCCACGGCAACCAACGTGAGGAGCCGTTTACCGGATCTGATGCAGTTGCGGACAAAGTATCTACGTCGGAGAAACTGCGAGATCACTGCGGACGCGGATGGCCGAGTATGCAGTAGCAGTGAGGAGAACGAGCCTTACCCATACCTTCAGGTCAAAACTCTCGCTAGTAGTGACAGCAGTATGACACGTGAGCTGCTTGAGTCATGGTTCACTATACGCCAATCTATTAACAGGTACAATGACATCACCTCCCCCTATATGGTGCCGAAACAGCCTGCTCAGAGTAATCAGCCATGGGGGAAGGCGCAAGCAACCCGCTGTTCCAGTAACATCAACAGTCTATCCTGGTGATGGGTTCGGGTGAGGATCCGAGACGTCGGATGTGAAGCATGCTTCCGGTGATCGGGTTTCGTTTTTCTGGGGTGTTTTCTGGATCTTGCCTCTTCGTATCCATTGGCATATCCTCCTAGAATTTGACTTCCACAACTTCTCAGTTCTGGCGGAGAAGGCGAATTCAGCGTGCTAGCACCCTAGCGACTGTCATTCCAGACTAACTGTCATCCTGTCCAGCTGGTAGCATTCTATTGGTCAAATTGTGCACAATAAGTGCTCGTCTCCTTTTTTAGCCAGATGGCTGTTCAGTAGCCAAAAGAGGGTGCATTTTCTGGGCTTCTGGATTGGGCGTAGTCATTTACGAGGCGAGGGGTGTAAACATGTGCTTTAATTCACACTGTTGTATTCAACAGCGACGGCCAAAGAGGGCGATAGCCCTCATTTCTAACTATTGAAATAATTTCACAAAAGATCTTCCAAATATTGGTTCATAGGAAAGCGAAACGCATGTCTTGATTGTCGAGTTCGATAATTAGCACATATGGCCGGCAATAGCCTGCGGGTTGTTGTCTATATGGGGGGTGCCATCAATAACCATGGAGGGAAAACAGACAATTTCTTGCTTTAAGGCAAATGTGTCCTCAGGGAATGAAACGGGAATATGGCGGCCGAATCTTAAAAGTCCACCCAAGGCCAGCCGAGTAGAAGGGATATGTGCCACTAGTCATGGATACCTTTTCTATTAACTTCCGCCGTGACAGACTGGACTGAGATTGAATAAATGGGGTATTTCCGCATTACTCTAGGACTAAACACCGATGGATGTTCTTTCTACATGATCAACTCTCATACTTAGCGAATAACCCGTCACAGGTGGAACTTATGATTTGTTGTGGCAGCAGTTTTAGGTAGTACGTGTCACGTACAATCAGGTTATTTTGGTCCAAATGGACTAATTTTTTTTTCATTTTTTGAGAAAAAGTACGAATCAAAACATGCCGACATTGGACTAAACACCCAAACGGGGTAGGACGCGGCGAGACTGTGTGCCACTCCGACTGAACGTAGGCTCTTGGGATAGGTGCTGGGGTGAGTGGTTAGTAAAACTGATCTAGGTATGAAGTTTAATTTAGTGAACAAGGCCTGTGCAAAACCAACGCACTCTCCTCCTATCGCCCTCGTTATCTAATGCCAGAACCACATAAAGACGACTGGTGATGTGGTGGAGAGCAGTGGTTTTTTTAGACATGGCGCCTCCGTCCAGAAATATCACATAACGACTGGTTTCCACTTGAGAGAGGTAGACCTGGCTACTCTCATCTGAGTTGGATCGTCAGTCGAAGCAGCTACTGTGGCCACTGCATCGTGCGAACTCTTATGGACCAAGCAATCTGAGCTTGGTATGAGATGGAGTCAAAGTACACAGGCCGCATACTTCGTCAACACACTCATTACGCCTGGCGACCTAGCGGGCTTCGCTATCTTTGAACATTTCATTCCGAAGCAGATGACCTAACTCTTGTTCTTGTTCTGCATCGACTGGCCAAAGCGAAGGATTCTGTAGTTCAAGGTACTTAGAACTTTCCGAATAGCAGAGAACACGAGTACCCTTACCAGTTTAATGAGTTCGGGGATGTCATTGTATTTGCAGATGGCGTTTTGGGTCATGAGTTTCCTTTTTAACTAATTTTTTTCTAAAAAACATGAATTTGGCAATTAATGAGACTCTGGTCAGATGAGGAACGTTTTTTCTTTAAGATAAGCCTTGCTAGAGCATTTCGCCGATAACTGTCCACGTTCACCAACTTTTTTTAAAAAATATCAAATTGTGCCCTTTACATTTAGTATCGAGACCACATTGCAACCCGCATGGTCTGTGCAGTTGAACTAATGATTATTTTGCGAGACCGGCAACTGGAGAATGATCTGTCCTGGTCGAAGGCAAACATGAATCCACCGATTTCCGTTTTACTATAAATGTATGCATTTTTGAGCTGTTTTTGCATTACCATGAAGCTTTAGCCTGGCGCTTATACGAAATGAACATGATTGTGTCTTCGTATGAGCATGGAACCTCGGGAAAAAACAGCTTCAGAGCGAATCAACAACAGGTAGCCTGAAAACCCCAAAAGCAAACTCTTTTTCGGCACAAAATTTACCACTTCAAAACAAAGATAACAAGTGGATGCAATTGCCCATAATATAATAATTAGTTTCGTGCAGGTGTTCTGCAATTTGTGATCGAATATGTTTAGGCAATCGGAATTCGCTGCAAGACTACGGACTGTTCAACATCTGCCTTTGACAGTGTACTTTGTGCAGATGACTAGGAGTCCACTTAACAGGGCGACATTACCGCGTGCAAGAAATTACCTGTGATTATTTTCTCCGTTTGCGAATGTCGCAGCGTCACAAAAGTGAGTTTTCCCATTTAAAAGTCGGTCGAAACATATTGGTAAATGCTTAGCTGACATTTGGATCGTACGGTATGTCTATCTGTATACACTGTAAATGTATGCTAAACTGTTGAACGAGTGGGGCTACTGAACTCTATACTTCCTGGTCAACAACCTATCACTTTCGTACTATTATTGATTTTGTCGGGCGCTGTGCTACCGGCGGATGCATTCAGTTCGAGGTGCATCGCAGAATACTGCGATTATGATTCACAACTACGTCAGGTTTCGGGTTTTAAGGCTAGAGATAGGGTTAGGGTTTTAGGCTTATGGATATTGTTGGAGTTTAGTGGTAGAGATACTGTTTAGAGTTAGGAAGTCACTCCGCATCCGCTGTCTACACTTTCCATCTACGGTATGCGTCTGATTGGTAAAATTCTTGGGCCGTTCGGCTTCGATGACTTTGACGAGTCAGTCATCCTCATTCTTTGTGAAACTGGTTTTGCTGGTTGCCTGCAGCGAAGTTTTGTATTGCGCATCGCTTACACTGAGAGTTTACTACCCGCTAAAACAAACTGGCATGTTTGTCCTTAATGCCTGCATTTTTCCCCTAGTTTTCCTGAAGACCCACCTGTAAGGCCCTTTTTATCACGGTTTGGGTATTCCGCGCGTCCGGGGTTTCCCCATTTCCTAGCAGGGCCGCGTTCCGGAGCCCTGTTGTTGAACGTTCTAGAATGTGAGGTTTTTCCCCTAATATCCATTCACCAGAAGCCTTCGATGAGTTTGCAGAAACATACTGCTGGGACACTTCCTATGTTTTATAAGGCCTGAAACATCAAAAACCCAATAAAAACACGTTTCAGATTGGGAGGTTTTCCCACTACATCAGACACGACGGAGCTAAGCATTTCCGGCTTATTTCGGTAATCTACCTTGTAACGATCGGGAGACGACACCCAAATATCAGTTGCCTAAAAATACTACCTACTATATCTTCCTGAGTGTAATTTGGTTTCAGGAGGAACGCCCGAGACATGAGCCTAAGTCGCTTGCCTATCACGCATTTTAGGTCACGCTCTCTCCCATCTGAACTGTCGGTCAATTTCCTGCCAGCTGAAACCTAAAATACTTAAATTTACGGGAAAGTACAATCGGGAGAGTGAACCTGCCAAAGAACTAGTGGTGCTCATATTGACATGACAGTCACGTCTCCCAGTTGCTGCAGGACTTTTATTCAAATGCAACTATGCATGTGTTCAAATTGTGTTTAGGAGAGATTGAATTATCGATTAATTCTCAGAGTTGTCACGTGCGACTGTGATAGCGCAGATTCTACTTGTGGTCTGTTCAATTAAAAAATAAAGTAAAAATATTCTAACTATGGGATCCCATCCTAATTCTTTATGGATTAACTTAGGGAATTGTGGTGTATTTTTGTAAATTACCGGTATTCGCGGGATTGTGGGTTTAAATTCGAATTCTGAATTGACAGTAAAGATACAATTTGCCCATTTCAAAAGTGATTTTCATGTGGCTTTTTAAGGATATAAACATGTGATCTCAGTATGCATTTCTAGCCAGCGTGGATCCCGTAAAATGCCAATTTCGACGCAACCGTGGTGTTTTCGACCAGCCAATCAACTTGTTATGACCCGCCTGGTACGTGAAATCCTGTGGAGCGTATGCGCGCTCGACCCTTGCCCCCAATACCAACGCGGCAGCGAAGCGAACGCGACCGGCCACGAAACTGCGTATTAGGAAAATGCAAGTCAAAATGAACTGGAAGTAACGCGTATTTATAACGCCTTACGGTGCTTCGCCGGCGTTCGGCTCAATGCCCTTCGGGAAGAACATTCGAGACGAGCCGGTCGATAATTCGAATATGCTGATCGATCAGGCCCGAGAGGAGAAGCCAATAGAGAGGCGCCACGAGTAAGATGACAGCGCAGTAGAGAAAACGCACGTGGCCTCCCGTGATTGGCTGGCTCTTGTTCTTGGGAGTGTAGGCGCTCCCAACACCTCCCCTCCAAGTAGGTCAGTACCGCTTCTGGCGTGGGTTGACCTGCATCAGACGTGTTGATCGGCGCATGCGGTTGGTCCGGCGTCTTAGTCGTGGTTTAATGCCTGGAGATACGGGAGCGGTAACTGATACCGAAGATGGTATATCCGAAGGGGACGCAGAAGTGGGTTCGGGAACCGACTGATCTGCCGGAATGGCGAAGGTATCCAGTAGGATGTCGAGAGAGAGTGACGGCGCCGAATCGAGCCCATTTGTGTTACTGCAATGTCGCCGTCGGATCTGGTTAAGGTGGCGAACCCAGATGTCATCACCAACGTCGACGTCAAACAACATACTGCCTCTGTGCGATACTACGGTTGCTTCAATCCAGTCTGGGAACCCCGCTCGATAATCACGAACGAAGACAGGTGTTCCGATGGAGAGCTTGCTGCGAGAAACTGGAGAAGTCTGCGCGGGCTGCGCACCGGTAGGGACGAAGGCATGAAACGTTGTACGCAGTTTTCGGCCCATCAACGCTTCGGCAGGAGAAACGCCACCAGGGGACGCCGGGTGAGAGGCGCCACGAGTAAGATGACAGCGCAGTAGAGAAAACGCACGTGGCCTCCCGTGATTGGCTGGCTCTTGTTCTTGGGAGTGTAGGCGCCCCCAACACAACTACTTTTCATGGACAAAAGACAAACAAAAAGTCAACTTACCGTTTTCTCTCAAAAATCACCATGGATGCCCTAAATGTTCACCGAACACTGATCTGCGCCTTCAGGAATTGACTTACATTGCTCAAGGCCGAGGGCAACCATTTTGCGTTTACGCCCTGAAGACCCCTGAGAGTAAAATATTTTGCTGTTGGCGAATATTTTTGGTTGCTTTCATCCAAACGTCATTTTGACCTAACGGAAATTCGGATTGCCCAAAACAAGCAATTGTCAACCAACATATTTCAACGTATGGAGTAGTTACAAACTAAGGCCTTTGAGGGATTTCTCATATTAAAGACTTCGACATTAATGACACTTATCTAGGTTGGTCCTTTTAGTTAACTCAAGAAGTAAGGATTCGCAGTTTGAAAATTACTAAATGCAGCGCAGTGTTTTTCTACCGACAGCAGACGTTTAGCGGACTGCGCAGTTTGTTTTGACCGATAGTTGAACACTGAACAACATCCAGGTGCGTATTACTGTTCATCGGTAGGCCACTTGGCAGCAGGTCATTCTGTGTGCTTACTCGGTCGTCCCGTGAACATCACGTCTCTCCTCATCCCCCACGCAGAGATTTGATTGGAGGATGTGCGTATAAACGACCACGATCAAATGCAGAGGACCGACCTGTCATCTGGGCGGGTGTCGTGGGAGGCAATTCTAAGGCTGTCGCGGTACTTTTGATGTGATTTAGTTAGAATTCTAAGTGCTCTGTTTACACTAAGGCATCATTGCTAAAAAGCCATAATGGATCGTGTCTGTGTCAACTAGCACACATAGACACATGCAAGTCTTGTTTACGAAAACAAATTTATTACTGCCTTTCACGCCCTAATTACTCTCTGCGGAGGCTTTCCCACATAAAATATGCGGTACTGAACCCCTCATCATTTAGCCAATTTTACTGGCTTAAGTACTTAAATGTTAAGTGAAGTAAACATACTTTCGGATCTACAACTGATCGTACGATTAAAAACCTCAGTGACTGGTGAGGGAAAACAGAACTTCAAGCCGCCGCAGAGAAAAGCAGACAAGCCGTAGATCCAACATTACGCCATGTGTATACCTGTGAGATCGCATTGCCGTGACAAATACGACGACACTCCAAAATCCACTCTGTACACCTATAGAACGCATAGGTCATAACTGTGACATATTAACTTGTGTGTTTTACCCGTTCTGGGGTTTCAAGACTCTGAATATCAAACGAATTCTCGAACAGCGTTTTTACAAAATAGTAAATTAAAAGCGTTTTATTTGGGTTGCCTTAGTCTTCTGGTTTTGCGATTGATCTGAGGAACAATTCTTTTATAGGTTTGACTGGATAATATACTCTTGCGGACCGCCTGTAACTTGGGAGAGATTGAACGACGGTGAGCAGAAGTGGGTAACTGCAGTGCTAAAACAAGAAAATCGATGTATTACCCTTTCTCCGTCTAACATTATTCGTATTCGAACCAGCAGTTTTGCAGTACGTTAGTTTATTCAGCGTAGTGCATCCCCGCACATTCCTTCTTATGCAGACATCATTTGAATACAAATTTGGAGCATGATTCCGTCCCAGCCTCCTATGCTTTTCTTATGCATTCTCTAAACAGTCCGGGACCTCTGCATTCCACAGGCATTCACGTAAACGTTAAGACATTATAGATGGTCAGGAGGACTGTTTCGGGAGGTATGGTGACAGTATTTATAGGCCAGTCTAACTGATTTATATTTTAAGGTGTTGCTTGTTTAACAGTTTTCGATTAGACGCGGGAACATGAACTCCTCCGTCTTACAGATGGTCTAGCCTAAAAATTCCAGATGACTATGATCAAATTTATGAGGGTTAGTGCCAGGGTTAGGCATGGGGACGTTTAGGGTTAGAGTTAGTGCTACGGTCTTAATGTTATGTCACGGGGCAGCCACGACGTGGAATTCGGCTCGAGGTCACTTTCAGTACTGGGATTTATATTCCCGGTTCCCTACTCATGTTTCCTTATTATGTGTTAATTATGATTCAAACAGCAGTTTGTTTTAGATTAGCGGGCTCTTCAGCCCTTGTCAATAATGTGCTGCAAATCCTTTATATGTTTTATTTATTTTTGTCTCCTTGAGTATATATTTTAATGTTTATTCCCGAAAAAAATTCGGATCTCTGTTTGTTGCTTTAAAAGAACACCTTATTTCCTCTTTCTTTATGACCTTCTTGGTCTCAAGACCGACGGTGGCTGCATTTTCTGCCAGATATATAGGCGACTGTGGATAATCACGTGATTTTCTGCGAATCACTCATTTTCTCGCGGGTCATCTGATGTCCTGAATAGTACTCAGTTTACAGTCATTCGAAGTAATTGGAGAGTTGCAGTTTCTCACAAGTTTGGCCTAATTTTTTTCTCGGATCTTATTTCGTATCTGTGCCCACAGTAGACAAGCATCAGCCTAATCCCAAACCCCTACTCGCAAACCCTACCCCAAAATCCCTAAGCCTAGCCCCTGACTCTGACCCTTAACAGGTACGGCTACGAAATAATATCTTGCCAATTTTTTCTCGACCTGACCAGTATTAAAAGTTACACAAGTCTTGAAGCGTCAGAAAATTTCGCTGAATAAACTGCCAGTGGATTTATTCATCATAAGAAGGTAGGGTGTTTACAGGGATAGATATAGGACTTTGCGGGCAACTAATACTGCAACCTTACCGAAGAGTCCGGCGAGCAGTATACGGCCGCATGGGTCGCCACCTACAGCCTCCGAACTAACCTACGAACAGCTTATTGTCGATGTTGCAGTCACTCTCGCTGGTGTTTGTCAGTTTTCTTCTTGTAGTCGGTTTAAAACGGCTGGTCTCTAGTTGGCGCTGGCGTCTTGTGATTGCATACCTTGCCGGCGACGTTCAGTCAAACCTGTAAGTGAATCTTAGCTTCTGTGATGCACGGGTTTCAACTGCGGCTTCGAAAGCACCTTCCTCACATAGAATACTTCGCTATACTCTGGACCAGTTGAACCCACCAGATCGGTTCCTTCAAATCCTGCAACGCCCTTCAAAGAATGCTTCAAAGAACGCCTGAAGACGTCTGACTCATCCGCCTTGGTGGCGGGCTTACTAGGAGGGGGTTTTGATTCATAAGCGGGCTTATGTATTGATACCTGGCGTTGTGATCGCATTTATGTCCCGAGCACTATGGCGAAATATGTGGAAGAATAAATTTTGGACGTGTTCTCAAATGTGCAAAAACAGCGTCTCAACATAGTACCCTCATGTGGACCAAGGACAAAACAAATATGGAGATTCCCGTATACCCGGCGCCTCCAGACACGAAAGCAGAATTAGAGCGGAAGCCTGGGAAGTAGAAACTAAGGTGGCAAATTGTCAGACGAAACCATACAAACTAGTTAGATGTTCGACAAACGGAGTTTTTACAGCTGAGAGCGAGAGAGCCCGAAGACTGTGACAGAGTGTTGAATTGGAGGAGGTTGACGTTGCAAATGGTCCCAACCTTGTTGCTTGTATCTGGATAACAGTAGAGAGTTCTCCAATCACTAGTCAGACGTCGAGGCAAAAAGATAGATGAGTGAATGTAAGCGGGTGTCTGCGTTACCGACTAATCAGGGCATTGTTGATCACACTGAAACATATTCTCACGCCTGCACGAGACGCACCATAAAAGGCGGCTGGCGTTTGCGGCAGTCGGTCTGATCAGGCGGGCTTGATTTGTGAACGCACAGACATAATGTGAGCGCACCACCGCAGTTCTCTGTTCAGAATTTGGATAACGCAAACTAAAAAAAACAGATGGAAACACATTTCTTAAACTGTAAAGAGAAAGCCGATCTCTTTGCGACGCAAGCGAAAGAAGCGAGGCAGTTTGCTTCACTTTCGATGCTTCTGGCGTCCTCTCTAGTGTCCACTTTAAACAAATTGATTATCTGGAAAGTGACAGGAAAAAATCACTGCCACACCCAATAGTACTACCAGTAATGTTACTCGTTTGTGATGTAGACATGGGGTGGCTAATCTGAAGAAGTTGATTGACATGAAGTTAGATGCGATATCATAGCGAAATACCTAGGATATTTATCGGTGGAATAATCCATCAGTGGGAATTATGCAGTAGCAACCGAGGTATGTCCTGATGCTCATCTTTTTTCACCAAATCCTGAATAGTTTGAATGGCACAAAGTTCTACAACCCAACCATTTATGTATATATTTTTGAACAGTATACTTATATGGTAGCACCTATGAAAACAGTATTGTCAGTATTATGTCGTATTACCCAAAAATTACGAAAGTTCACTGAAAGCCATCAAGTTTTTTCGGCCACACAAATGCATATGAGCCTGTATTTTTATCACAAAAACCCTGAAGGAAATTGGTTAGAGCAAGACTGTTTTTAATCTAATTCACATGACATGCTCAATACTGGCTCCAGAGGAACACCAGAAGCTAACCCCTGAAAAGCTCTCAAAGCACTGCTTTACACAGATTACCATCTCACCATCCCTCCAGAACAAGTAACAGTAGAATGTCGCAGGCCCGCGTTTTGTCGACCTTCTGCTGCTGCATGCCGCAACCCCAAGGATAAACGGGCCCCCTCCATTTGCTTTCAGCCGGTATTTTTGTTGTTGATTGAAGCTTTATTATTCCTTCTGATGGGCGCAACGTTGCAAGAATGTTGTCGGGTTCTCACCAAGCCTTCGTCGAAGCACTTGCCCCGAGTATGGTTGGCAGTTATGTCAGCAACACAAACAGAGAGAGAGCACTCTGCTGACGTTCACAGTGCTATTAAGTATGCGGCCTTGTACTCGCTTTGCAACCTGATAGCTCTAC